TCCTGTTCATTTTGTTTACCGAAATCCCTATTTTTGAAATGGTTTTTGGCTCTGTCGCTTAAAAATTCTCGAAGGTTCCCTTTATTGAATAACCGGGCTACCTCCTCTCTTAGTTGCCTGCAATCTTCCATTTTGTGCCCATGGGTGCCATGATATTCACACATTTGATTGGGGTTTCTCTGGGCAGGGTCGGTCTGCATGGGTAGAGGCCATTTAGTGTCCTTGATACATCCCATAGCTGACATGATAGCGGATGCATCTACACTGAAGTTATACTCCGATAGTCGTGGTGCTTCCTTAGGTTCGGTATGCCTATCGAACCCATTTCTGTTCATCAGTCCCCGAGATCCTTGGCTCCGATCATTTCTCTTTTTGCCTCGTACGGGGTTACGTGAAAGTTCGCTACCCTGACGATCTCCGTTGTATGGACGGTATCGATCCTTGCTTGACCTTGGTACTCGATCGGTATCCCCTTTAAAATCGGACCCGGAACCCAATTGGTCGTCTTCGACCCTTATTTTAGATTGATACCGATTGTGCGGCCCAAGTAATAGCTAGCTATTCAATCAGGTTATGTTTTAGCCGCTATGAAGCCATCGAGCTCCGTTCGTTCAGACCTTGAGTGAAATCTTAAACGGCCTAATCGTCTTTGACTGGTGGTAGATCCATTCTTCCATTTGGAAACAAGATACAAATTCTCTTAGCATCTCGTTATCCTTTTGTCTTACCTTAAATAGGTCTTACTTCTGTGTCTCGACCTTTATGGCCCCGACATATGCTTTTACGAAACAATCTGCAAGCATAGCAAAAGAATCAATAGAGTTAGATGGTAAATTATGATACCATATCATTGCCCCCTTTGACATGGTTTCACAGAATTTTTTCAATAATACAGATTCGATCTCATCATCTTCTAGATCGTTTCCTTTAATGGCACATGTGTAAGAGGTGACATGTTCGTTGGGGTCGGACGTCCCATTGTACTTAGGAATTTTGAGCATGCGAAACTTCTTTGGGATTGGTTTAGGGGCCGCGCTCGGGGGGAAAGACTTCTGTACGAATTTTTTGGAATCTAAGCCTTTCAATATCGGGGGTGCCCCGGGATCTGATCAACCCTAGAGTTGTACGTTTCCACCTTTTTGTTGTTTTCTTCAATCCGTTTTGTCAGTTCTTCGAACATCTTAACAACTTTGGGATTAGTCCCCGATTCTTGCTCGTTTGACCTTGCTACAGCTGGCTCTGTTCTGCGGGTGATCTCTCGGGGTGGACTGGGCTCCAGTCTGCTCGGTACCTGTGTTTGACTCTGCAGTTGAGCTATCGCTACCTGTTGAGCTTGCAACATTTCAAAAATCATACGCAAGTTAATTTCGTTTTCCTCAACGTTATGGGTGTCTCGAGGTGCAGATCGAGTACCACCATGAATGCTATTTTCAGGCTCAGAACGTTGGTTTTTCTCAATAGCCACATGTGAATTAACGTCTAATGGTGCTTCGACTCGGGCCCCAATATTATCGACAAGTGGCCTTTCGACCCTGGTTGTCAGGTTGTTGTTTTCTCCTTGAAGGCCAGCTTCATTGTCGATAGGTAGGGCCATTAATTGGGAGTTCGTTGTTGCTAATTCGAAATCAAAGATACTTTCAACAACAAGAGTAAGAGGGTGTGTTTACAGATTCGTACCAAATAACCACTGCTATCCTTAGCCCCACGGTGGCGCCAAACTGTTTACCCAAAAAACGGATAGAGTTAAATTTGTATGTAGTTTTAAGGATATGTGGTATAACTCAATACAAATCGTATGGATAAATAAGAATAGCTAATATTTGACTGTGAGGATGAAAGATATGAAGCTAGAAAGGATAGTTCTTCAATATGAAATGTGTGATATCTTAATTACAAAGTATGCAAAAACTTGTCTCTTACAGAAATAATAACCATACCATTTATAGTGGAGGAAGATTACTTTAGATATAATTAAATATACATAGTGGGAGACCCATGATAAATCAGTTTTTCTATAATTCCTGCCAGGATTCTCTCCTCTAGTGGGATTACAACAGCTCTTGTCTATAAGCTCGATTTTGACTCGAGCTCTCGATCTTGACTCGAGCTCGATTCTGGCCCGGATCCTTATATTGATTCGGGATCAGNGTTCTTCAATATGAAATGTGTGATATCTCAGTTACCAAGTATGCCAAAAAACTTGTCCTTACAGACATAATAACTATACCCTTTTATAGTGGAGGGATTCCACTTTAGATATAATTAAATATACATAGTGGATACCCATAATAAATCAAATTTTTCATAATTCCTGCCAGGATTCTCTCCTCTAGTAGGATTGCAACGACTCTTGTCTATAAACTCGATCTTGACTCGAGCTCTCGATCTTGACCTGAGCTCTCGATCTTGACTTCGAGCTCGATTCTGGCTCGGGTCCTTGTATTGATTCGGGGTCAGTGTTGGTCGGTCTCTGCCTCGTACGCTCGATAACTTCACTTTGCATCATAGTTCAATTTGGACTTGAGCTCGATAATGATATCGAGCTCGATATTGATCGGTCCTTAGGGCTCGAAACTTGGTGACCTGACTCCGGATCTCAACCTGATTATGAAGATGCTTCTCCGATCCAATGCATTACCATCTCGACCAGTTCGTACGAAAGACTAACCGGTTTTTACCGTATATAGTAAATAATATAGCCACGGATTTATTACGATGATAAAATATTATAGCTGACTGTTAGTTTTTGCCACAAACTGAAAGTTACTATAGCAAAAGTAACCTTTTAACCATAATAAATTATTTAAAATAAAATATTATAGCTAAACAGATAGTTTTGCTTCAGGTCCTGAAAATTTATGGTAATAGTTGGCTTAGTAACTACAATTATTTGTCATTAAGGAATAATTTGACCACGAATTTATTGTTATAGTAAAGTTTCGTAGCTAATTATTAGATTTTTCCACGAGTTGAAACTTGCTATAGTAATAATAATGTTTTGGGCATATTAAATTATTCGAAAAAAATATTGTAGCTAAATGAGTATTTTTGCTTCAAATTATAAAGAAAATAAAAATAGTTAGGCTTGAATAAATGAAAATGGTTGTCAATAAAAAAATGATGAATATTTTTGCGCAATTATGAAAATTCATGACAAGAGTTATCTAACACTATTACGTAATGAAAAGTTAATGTCAAATGTAACAGTTATATTTTTCTTAAATATAGGAAAATAGTAATTGTATATGATTATGAAAGAAAATATTAATTATATATGAAATTAAAGAATTATTTAACTTTCAAATAACTAAAATTAAAATGCAAAATTAATCGTCATTCTCAAATAGTAGATCAGTTGTTACCTGCTTATATTAGCAAAACTTATCAATTGACTTCTTAATATCAAACTCATATTTTATTTGATTGCACTTGTTGTTAATTATATAATTTTTTATGTAATTTTTAAATTATTATTAATATTTATAGATATTTATGTATGTATATACTTTATTATTTTTAAAATAAGTGTACTTACATTTTCTAAAAAGGTATTCATATTGAAGACTTTAATTGTTGTAGTATTTATGTTTATGGTCCTTAATTATTTATAAAGCACTTAATCATTTATATTTAAGAAGTCATTTTAAAATAAGCGCTCATATATTGAAGAGCTTTCTTGGGGGAGGGTTGGTGCATTTAGTTTTGATAATGACCAAAGGCTCCAAATATATACAAGGAGCATATTTAACACTAAAAGAAAATAATGATAATCTTAATGGAAAAAAGAAAAAAGAAAAAAAAAGTATATTAAAATAATAAGATTTGCGATGAAAAATTAAATTTATCGCTAATTTTTACCCTGATATATGATGACAAATTTAAAAACGGGATTTCTATTGATAATAGTATTAATTGTATTAATTTTTATATAATTTTCTTGTATCTAGTTACCCTAACAACTTGGTCTTCTTATAAAATCAGTATTAGTTGTACGTCCAATTTTAATTAAAAATATTGAATTATATATTATTAATGTGTGAATAAATAATATATAGAATTAAACATCAGTAGTATTATACCAAGTACATTGTATAACTAATTTTTTTTATAGGTAATAAAATATGTTATAATGATATGGATTTACTATCTTAATAACTAGTATTAATTATCATAAATTAAATTATACATTGAATCTAAGAATTGAAAATTTAGTATTATTCTTATACATGAAGGAGATCTTGTCTCTCTTGTGAGTATTATTTGTATTTAAGAATAGTCGTATTTTCACTATTATTACTCTTATTGTTTTTAGTATAATTTGTATTTAAAAATAGTTACATATTTTACCATTGTTAAATTTACTTTTGTATAAAAGTTAATATGACCGATATAGGGGGTGTATAACAAAAACAAAATAGTATATTTTTGGTAAATAATAAATATCATAATTCATTCTAAACAAAATATTACTTGAAAGTTTCAAATATACTTTAAATAAGTATATAATTATAATTAGTTAAATTTAAATATCTGAATATATTACCTTTAAACAATTATGTGCTTGTATATATCTATATTGCTTACCAGTTATATTCAATTTAGATAAGTATTAAAGTTATTGATTTAATGATCTACTAGTATTTTAATAAATTAACAATTATCATAAATCTAACTTAACACTAAAAATGAAGAAGCTAATATTATTGAAATATGAACGTATAACAAAACAAACAATATCATCTAGTCTAGGATGAAAAAAGAGGTAAAGAAAAATATATTTTAGAATATCTTTATTTCATGCAAATAGTTGATTTTTTTCTATTTTAGTTAAATGTAACTCTTTTGGTTTATTATAGGTACTTTTCTTACTTTTATTAGCATTTATGGTATTTGTATTTTTTTCCTCTTATATTTATGGTATTTGTATTAAGAAGTAAAATAAAGCAAAATATAAAAGAAAAGAAACACAAACTAAATCCCTAAACCAAAACCTAAACCTACTCTCCCTCAGCCGCCACTCTCCCTCCCCGCTTTCTTATTTCTTTCTTTTGCCATTAGTAGTCGGCATTAATTCAAGGCTATGAGGAAGACAAAGAGGATCAACAAGAGTGTATCCTCATTGCGATCTCCATTTATGGACAAAATTTTAACTTGTTGGTTCGTCTCTTCCCAGGTGAGATCATGTATCTATATCATAGTATTTCTGAATCTTCTTACGCCTACTTGAGTTTGAGTTTTTTAGTTCAATTTTACGGGTTATTCCAGCAATTTGATAGATATTACGCCTTATTTTTTATAAGTGGTGAGTGCAATTTTAAAGATTTGATAGATTTTGTGCCTTACACCTAATTGACTTGGGTTTCTGCTTCAATTGTTTGTTTTTGATTTATAGGTTGCTCAAGAGAAAAGTGTCTTTGAGAAATTGTATTCTCTTCTAATGCCAAATTGTAAGTTTTTCTTCCTTTTTTCCACCTTCTTAAGTTTTATGATGTTTATTTAAATGTTTTTTTTTCTTTTGTGTTGAAACAAGTTTAGATCTTTTTTGCACCTGATTCATGGCTAAGTTTTTGCTTATTCCATGATTCATTGAATTTTTAATTATTAACTGTAAATGCATCTAACTTGTATATGTTCTAATAATTCAAATATAAATTTCTCATAAGATCATTTTATTTTATATTTCAGTCTAGTGATTACGGAGAATGCTTCATATATTATTGGATGCATAAAAATCAATGGTTGCGATGAGGGTGGTAACATAAATCATCAAGATCAAACGGGGGTGACAACATGAATCATCAAGCAAATGTTTATGTTCGTTTAACGTGGAATGTCGTATATTATTTTTTATCTCTATTGCCATCAAGCCATACCGGCTAGTTCTTTTCTTCAAATTTTATTTATTTATTGTAAAAGAGTTATTCACTGCAGATACTATTAATTGGTTAATATAAATGTGTATCTTAGAATTTATTTTGTGAAATTTTTTAAATGTCAATTTGTGTAGAATAAGTTATTTCTCAAGCTAATATGTTATTACTATTAGTTTTAATATAACATGCAGAGCCATATAATAATTGAAAATTTTTAGACAAAAATAAAATAGCGGAGAAAAAGGGTGGTAGGAACTTTCATCGCTACTAAAATCAATATTCTGTCAAAAAATAATAATAAAATAATCTAACCTCGACTTTTATTGTATGATTTGTAGCCATAAAACTTTTTGTCCATAGCTAAACAAAAATACGTTTGCCACGGACTAATATATGTGTTTACCCGAAAAATGGATAGAGTTGAATTTATACGTGGTATAACTTGGTGCAAATTGGAAAAGTAAGTAGAAATATATCGAATATTGATTGTAAAAAAGGAATAAAATACAAACCAAATTGAGTAGAGAATGATTTATAAACAAGCAAGATGAATCAATGTCCAAAGCCCAAAAAGGGATAATCTCTACTATATATCTGTGTAAATATCTTTGAAATGTGAGAGTGTATTGATGTCTGAATCTTGAATGCTCCTTACAGAAATGATAGCCACTATTCATATAGTGGAGGAATCCTACTTTAGATATAATTAAAAATACATGGTAGGGATCCCATGATAGATTAGTTAATTAGTTTTTCTTTAATTCCCGCCAAGATTCTCTCCTTTGGTGCAGCTACAATGGCTCTTTGTCTCTTAGCTCGATCTTGGTCGGTCTTGGTATTGGTCGATCTCTGGATCTCGAGCTCAATATTGACTAGAGCTCGGTATTGACTCGAGCTCGATATCGATCCGAGCTAGGTATTGATCGGTCTGGATCTCGAGCTCGATAACTTGGCTTCAAATCTCATCTCGATATTATGATGACGACCCTCGGTCCATCATGTTCCAATCTCGACTAATTACACGAAGGAAAAAAACGGTTTTGATCGTATATAGATAGTCCCCTTGTTTCTCGGAAGGAATGTGGCGAGAAACGACAAGATTTTTCGAACTCCAACTAGGTGGGAGATGACATCAGTGATGAGCCCGATTATGACGTATGCGACCAACGTCCCATCGGTCCAGTTACCAAGATATTAAATGTTTGTCAATCGTTGGTTGACCACTACCGGTTCTGAGCCGTCATCATCAGGCCTATAAATATTCAAACTTTTATTCACATCCAAACTTTTTACTCAAAAGTTTTTCCTCTACTCTCGTATCTTCTTCAAAAATCCCTCTGCTTTATATATTTTACAGCACAAACAAACCCAATTGACTTTTCCTCTATTCATTAATGGCGAAAATCTCCAAGACAGTGCTGCAGAAAGAGGTCGTTTCTACATCGTAGCCTACCGGCGGCGAGGATGCGGCGGAGCCTCTCCCCGAGGAGTTTGTTCCGGTAGGGTGCTCGACTGTCATTGATTTCAAAATCGAAAAACCCTCTTCGGTACCGAGCCAATGTGAGCCAATCTCGAGGTACCAATGTTCAATCACCGAGAAAATTCTCGAAAAGGTAAAAAAGGAATGCAACTGGGGCGACAAGCACGTGGTAGTCCCATCGCCCGAAGAATCAATTATTACCCACGTGGAAGGGTTCTTAAGTATTTATACTTACCCTTTCACGTTGGGTCCATTAGATCCCGTCATCGTCGCTTTTTGTAAAAGATACGACGTGACCCTTGGCCAAATTCATCCTTCGTTTGGGAGAATAGTGATTCTTCTCCGATTCTTCTCAAGCAAAATCGAGGGGTGTCTTCTCACCCTCAATCACCTTATGCGCTTTTATAGTCCCTGACTCTATCGAGGAGGGTTGATCAAGCTAGCTCGCCGAGCCACTAAAGCATCGTTCTCAAGTATATTTGAAACTCGTGATCGAGGTTGGATGGGCCGGTTTGTTCGAGTCAAAACCTCGGACCTGATTTCTGCCACCGACTTGCCATTTTCTGAGAAATGGAATATGAGTCGTGAGTATTTACTTCCTTTCGAGCATTTTAATATGGGGCCGCCTTTCATTTTCTTGATCCACTCTTTCTTTTCTATTACAGTTGTGGCTTAGATGCCGGAACCGATCTCAGACCTTAAACAATGGGTTGAAGGTCTCGTGCTGCAGAGAATGTACTCTGAGCGTGCTTAGGTGGAACTATCAAAGGGTCGATGGGAGGCCCGTAGCCACGGTTAGTCTCTTTCTCAATTTGTTTGTAGCTCGATCTTCTTCACTTACTTACCCTCATTTTTTTCCTTTGTAGGACTCGGGAAAGATGTTGTTATGAGGCCCCCATTTGGTAATGAAGAGGTCCCTGTCCCTAAGCTGGTTAAAGAGAGGAAAAGAAAAGATGCACCGAGTTCCCCAGTCTCGGACAAGAAAAATCTGGTGAAGAGAACTCGCAAACCCAAGGGGGGCTCCTATATCGTGCCTTTGGACTCGATCTGTCGATTAAGGAATGATCCCGAAGAAGAAGAAGAGTTAGCCTGTGTGTGGGGCAATGTTGTGATACAACAATCCTCCGAATCAGCGGAGCTTAACAAGGGAGTTCTGGCCATGATTCCCGAACAAGGGAAAGCCGAGAATATTCCATCTCGAACTGAGATGGTCGAGGGAGAGACCAAGGGCAAGACATCTTGGGAAGAATATATCTCGAAGGACGAGCTTGGGATAGTAGATATTACTGGATCCCCTCAGTTTTCGGATGCCATGATCCGCGAGGCCACCATGTTGGAAGGTCGCTCTTACGAGGGCATTCAGGAGTCGTACGATATTCATGGCTTCTTGGACGGGCTCGAGTCTGCTGCTTTGGAGGATATTACCGGGTTTGGTAGATTACCGGTACCGAAGAAAATATCATGGTCGGGTGCTATTGAATCTTCATCGGGCCCAAAATTGGTGGACCGATTCTCGCCCCCCTAGTGTTGATCCCGACCATAGGCGAAAATAGTACTCTCCGTCCTGGAGGATGCTCGAGTTTTTTCTCCCCTCGTGGGGGTTGCTAGTTACCTTCGGTCCTTGGTGACCGAAGAGGACCAAACAGTAATGAACGTGGTAAGACCTGCCTGCCTTTCTAACGAGGCCCAACATGCTCTGAATCAGGTAACTTCGATGGCATCATTGTTGTTTCTCTTATATTTAGATATGTAGTTAATTCTAACATTTTTCCTATGTTTGTAGGCTTCGGTGCTGCATCACGAGGCCTTCCTCTGAATCCGAGAGGAGCATGAGGCTGAGGTTCGGAACCTCACTGAGAAGAGTGACCATTACAAGCTTCTTAGTGAGAAACTTCGAGCAGATTTGACAGCAGCTTGGGAAAAGCACGAGGAGATGGCTGAGCAAGTATTCTGAATTTTCCATGATAGTGAAGGTGAATTGGAGATAACCACTAACGATCCGATTCTGCAGGTTCAGTAAAGGATCAAGCAGATCAAACGGCTCAACTCACAAGTAGATGGGCTACTGGCTGAGGCGGAAGAATTTAAAAAGAATATGGATATCCTTGCCTCAAAAAAGGAATCCGTTCAAGCTCGGTTGGAGTGGTCTGAGGCCCAACTTCGATCTGCGAAAGAAAATGCCTCGGTGCTGATCGAGAGGATGAAGGAGCTTCAGCATCGGTTAGATTTGGCTATTTCTGGTAAAGCAAGCTTGGCTGATGAACTTGAAGTGGCTAGATCTGAGGTGATCGAGGCCAATAAAAGAGCTGATACTAAAGTGGCCCAGTTCAGGATCAATGTTGAGGTCAACCAAGCCAAAGCCAAGAGCATGGTCGAGCACGCTAAATGGCAGGCTCGGAGAGAAGCACTTGGGGAGGTCAGTGCTCAGGGCTTCGATGTTAGAGCCGAAATTAAAATTGCCAAGGCGGGGGAAAACAAGGCTCGAAGGCTGGCCTTCCCTGAGGAAGACTCTGATAGCTCGAGCGAATCTGAAGGTGGGGAAGATGCCGAGGACGCGGCCTCCGATGAAGACCAAGCCATTTAGGATCTTAGGTAGTTGTTGTTATTTCTATTGAGGCTGCTTCCGGTCTTTGTAAAAGACTTCCTTCGGGCCGAGTTGCCTTTGCAAAAGATTTGTATATAAAACTTTTTTCCCCTTTTTGGCTTCCAAATCTTTTATTTTTTAGTTAATTCATACAAAGGTCAAAAGTGTCTTAGCATTGAATAATTATTCGAAGGTCGAGTGAGTGTTTTCTCGAACTCAAAGTAAGAGTAGCCCTTAGGCTTAATGGTCGAGTGAGTGTTTGCTCAAACTCGAGTTAATATAGCCCTTAGACTTTATAGTCGAGTGAGTGTTTGCTCAAACTCGAGTTAATATAGCCCTTAGACTTTATAGTCGAGTGAGTGTTTGCTCAAACTCGAGTTAATATAGCCCTTAGACTTTATAGTCGAGTGAGTGTTTGCTCAAACTCGAGTTAATATAGCCCTTAGACTTTATAGTCGAGTGAGTGTTTGCTCGCACTCGAAGTAAGAGTAGTCCTTAGGCTTAATGGTCAAGTGAGTGTTTGCTCGAACTCGAAGTAAGAGTAGCCCTTAGGCTTTAATGGTTGAGTGAGTGTTTACTCGAACTCGAGTTAATGTAGCCCTTAGCCTTAATGGTCGAGTGAGTGTTTGCTCGAACTCAAAGTAAGAGTAGCCCTTAGGCTTAAT